CTCTGTTTCCCCAAGCTTCAATTGCCTCAACCATGTTACATTCCATACTAACAACATTAAAAGGTCCAGTAGTGTTAAATAAAAATCTACTTATTCTAGGGTCTGGTTTTGAGACTTGTCTACAGTAGAACTGACACCCGAAACCTTTTTGCTAAATCTTAAAGTTTTTGGTTTCGGATTTTAGCTTTCGAATCCTTACCCGAATCCTGAAATTGTTAGAACTTAAATTTCATATAATAAATTATTTGTTTTGTTATTTCTCAATTTAAATTTATTATTATTTGATTTGTATCATCTGGAAATTAAACTTGGCATAACATTTAAGCTATGGTTCATCACGATTATCTATCATTTCTAATAATCCGGTTGACCCAGTTGTCATGTAAGAATTGACCATCTAATACCAATTGGTAATTCATCCAGCATGGACTAGTGTCGCCAATGTTCTTAGCAAATATCCATATAATTGTTTTCATATAACCCTTGCTGTCTTATTAATGACTTTGCTAACAATATTATTTAATATTATTTCATTTATATAGATATATTTTTTATTACCATAAGTAATAAATGCGGCATCCTGTGCTGGGATTTGGGATCTTCTATTTAGATCAATAATATCTACTAAAATTTATACATACTCTTTCAATAATAATACTACTTTCAAATCCTAAAAAAAAGCCAACAAAACAAGGCCTTTTTAAAAAATGCAGTACTATTAAAAATTATGTTTATAAACCATGTTTTATGCTTTAACAAAAAAATTTTTGTAAAATTTTATTGTTATATTAACCCTAGCTATAGATCTGCGGTAATATATATCATGTGTTTCAGAAAATTTGAACTACATGCTGTTTATATAAGTTATCTTTCTTTTAATTGATCAATTACTTACATTTTGTATTTATAGTTTAAAGTGCTTTGAAAAATATAACACTTACAAGAAAAAACTATTAAGATTGTCTCTATCTTAATTAAGTTACTATATAAAATAATACAAAAAGAACCACAATCTAGAGGCACTTCGAAGATAAATTTTTTACATGTACGTATTATAATTGTAGAACTTTATACGATTACTAAATGGTCGAATGCATTTGACTTAGTAAAAAAAAAAAAAAACTAACAGAATGGCATTTTTTAAGAATAGAAAAATGCATAGCTGAGTCATGTATATAATATACCAGGAACGGAGTGAAACGAGTGTATGGCTTATTCGAGAAAGAAATTATGTGCGTACCATAAATCTAATTCCCGATTGGACATCGTGATCATAATTGTCACTTGTAGCATATTCTTCACGCATCTCTTCAAGGTGTCACGATTAATTATTTATTAAAATGTACCTCATTCGAACCTTAAAAAACTTTGAGAATAAATACTTTTAGATTTAATCCTATGTCTCAAGTGCAAATAAATACATAAATCTAGGCACAAATATATTTTCAATGAACGTAATTTTCTAAATATTCGCGAAATTTGATTTATATCAATGAGATAAAGTATTTCTTCAAATAATCAAAAAGAAAATATATTAATAAATCCATTATATTAAAAAAAAATTTCAATATTCAAATCTATTTAAAATTACATTATTTACCAAGTATGTAAAAAAAAAACACCTATAATAAATAAACCTGTGATTAATCTTTATTTGCTACGAACTTTATACGATACTTTATTCTCTATTAACCATATTCCGTACATAATACTCTAATATATTTTCAAAATTGAGTATCAATAAGGTAAATTGGCTCAAAGTTTTCGAATCATTTATATCCAAATTATATATATTATTAGTTATATATGCTAATCTAGTTAGTTTCAAATGTGGATAGTAAATATATTATACGAAGTGGTTCGTTATTTTAAACGCGCATGGGTGGTATTTAGAGTCAAACATGTAATTTTCATAACAATGAAATTTCAAGATAACGCTTTGATACATTATTATGCGACATGTTCAATATAATT